TATAAATGGAGGAGCTGAAAGCAAAAGCCTTGAACACGGTTCAGGTACCTGAGTCTGAATCAAAGTGAACCCACTCAGGGTAGCGGCGAGGCCTGGTGGGTGAGGTGGGCTGTTAACAGTCCTAGCAGAGAGACACCTTCACCAAGACACTGACTGCTGTCTGTTTTTCTGGCTATTTAGGGAGCGCTCGGTTTGATATGCAACAGCGCTTTTTGTGGGACCCGGCCCAATTAAACTCCTGGTTTTGATAGGCAGCGAGTGTGTGTGACGTAGCCTGTTGGGGATTTATTTTACTGTCCGTCTGTGTGAGGGAGATGGGAGAAAGTGAGAGGAGGAAAAAGCCGAAGCAAGTGTTACGACGGTGGTTTAACCTTCCTGTTGTCCTCGGACAATATTTGACCGGTTCCCCAATGTTTTTATGTCGGGATAAAGGTTTCTTTTATATTAGTGCCAGAAAAATAACATGTTTGCTTGTCTACTACGTTTTTCCACGAGAAAACAATTATGATCACTTTCATTAGGTTTTGGGTTTTATTCAAATCTGTGGGCTTCTGGGGTCAATTTTGTAAAATCATTCAGCGTTTTTTCCTTTTTTAACTCAGAAATTAGGTTTGATTTTGTGTAAATGAGGTCTATTGACCATGTATTTCAAAAAGAAGAGTAAAACTTGCATCCCTTTTAAAAGTTGCCTTTAAATGTGTAACATAGATTCGGCTGATTATTTATACTAAATGGTTTTACAAACCAGGAGGATAAAAGTTGATAGGAAGAAAAGGGTAAAAAAGAAAACTAGGACACAATTTGTAGGCCTACTCAATGTTGGCCATTACCTACATCCTACTGAAAGTGAGTGAATGAGCCATGAGGGGAGCCTTAACACTGACACAGGTGGTGGAACACATTACCTATGTTAACTTACACCAGGTTCACATAGTGTTGGGTGATTGGGTGACATTTTTCTACTGAAATCATTGCTTTGAGAACAATTCTGACTTATATAGTTATCCTCATTACAAAGCTTAAAAGAGACATAGATGTTAGTATCTCTCTCTGCTTTTATATTTTCTTGCCTTTTCAAAACCCCCAATAAATGCGGGTTGATTAGGAGTTTTTGTCCCAGTGCTCCTTCGAGTCGATATCAGAAATGGGTATTCAATTGAGTAGTAGGTTTAAAGATAGGAATGTAGTCCCAACTTGTTTAAAGCACCTCTCACAAAGGATTTCCTTCACATTCCGTGGCTCTTCTTTTTAACCAACAAATTGCTAAATTGGTGCATTTGCTTAATTTTTTTCACCAGACTCCTGCTGCAGTCAGATAACACGGGTAATACCAACAGAGTCAAAATTATGCCAGCTATCTTTTTCTTGATAAGCCTCAACAAAGTGGTCAACGTGAAGACAGCAAAGCACTACATTTAAAACAGTGACATTTTGTACATTTCCATCCAATATGGAACTCGCATGCGTTGGTTTTCTTTATTTTATATCCACAATAACTAACCCTATTCCAAATCATTTATACAAGCTGCTTAATATGACAGTCTGGTAGGAGTGATTCCCTGGAAGCTCCACTTTCATTTACAGTGTCTTTAACTGTACCTGCCAAAGTTTTAAGCACTAGGATCTAAATCAAAAAGAAGGCAGCAATGATTTAGAACACTGCTATATATAATAAATGATTAATGGTGAATTCCTCAAAGATCACTCTGATGAGGATTGAAATTGACAGCCATTTAAGAGACCTCTGCAAAGTGCAAACACACCAGTATCAGAAGCTATGAAAACATCAAGAGCAACAGTGTAAATGTGATTAAACCATCCCTAAACAATCAGTTTGTCATGGCACAAGACACACACACACACACACACACACACACACACACACACACACACACACACACACACACACACACACCACACACACACACACACACACACACACACACACACACACACACACACACCACACACACACACACACACACCACACACACACACACACACACACACACACACACACACACAACACACACAACACACACACCACACACACACACACACACACACACACACCACCACACACACACACACACACACCACACACACACACACACACACACACACACACACCCACACACACACACACACACACACACACAAGCTAGATCTTGTTTATTATCACGCTCATTAGCATGAGTGACGGGAAGGCTAAGAGAGGGGAGCAGTTACACTAGTCTCCTGCGCTGTGACTAAATACTTCTGAGGTTTAGGGATATTGTGCGCTAGGGCCTTCATCATCAACAGGCCCCGTCCAGAGCAGAAGGGCTGACCTTTAACACTGCTGCATCTTCACTAGTGCTGCAGCAATGATGGATTACAGAGTCCTCCTCAGCGGACAGGATGGGAGCAGAGCCTTTCAGAGACAATGATGTGTGTGGAGTATCCTCCTCTTCCCCTCGGGATGGAGCGGACGCAAATCCTGCTTTTCCAGCCTACTGCCCCCTAATTCGGCCCAGTGGGTGCTGTGTAAAGGCTGTGCAGAACGGATGTACCAATAGGAGTGTGGCTTTGTCAGTCAAGGTGTCAGCCAGACTGACGGCTCATTGTGTGGGCTGACAGCCGTCTGAGAGCTATAGCACTTCCATTAAGAAGGAACATCACTCACTGGCCATAACAGCCACGGTCCTCTCTGCTCACTGGCATGGAGGATAACAGGGACCAACATATACTCGGGCTAACAGCAAACTCTCCGTCAGCTCAACAGACATGTCAGGAAGTCCTATTGTTCATACAGATGTCCCTCAACATGCTGATATGCAAAGCTGGGAAAGTATTGCTTTCATAGGACTGGGTTCCCATAGTTTTCTGTGAAAGCTAAAGCCTTGAAACTGCATATCAAATCGCATGTTGACATTCTAGGGGATTCTTTTCTGTACTGGAGTGTGAGGGAGAGAAACTCCCTCTGGATGGAACACAGAGGTTTTAGCCTTTACAGACTGTTAACATGCACAAACACCTATAGAACCAGCAACATGCAGTCAGGGCAGTCAGGGGAGGCAGAGCCTCACCTGACATACTCCAATGTAACGGAAAAACAACTAAAGAAAAACTAAATAGTAATAATAATAAAATGTCTCCACTGATCTGTGTTGTAAATGTGATTTATGTTTGATTCCAATCGCTTTTTAGAGTCAAAATCAGCAAATTTGCCGAGCTCCGCTACAACTACAGGTAGCGATAAGGAGTGAGGCAGGGACGAGCTCTGCCTCTCGTAAGCCCACAGTAACTGGCTGGAGCGCGGGCACTAATGTAGCGCGGGCACTTATTTTGTGAGCGCGCTCAAGCCAGTTACTGTGGGGTGAGGTGAGGCACAGATGAGCTCTGGCTCACCTCAGAATGCGTCACCTCACAGAAACTGGCTGGAAAGCGGGCACTAAGCGCATGCCTGCACCATCTCACTGTATGTCACCAATGTAATGTTTGTAGATCCCTTTATTACATTTATCCTCGCCATCCATAGTCTCTAAATAACTTATTTCACGTGATATTTAGGCTCGCTGGTCTCATCATACAACGGCAATGAAAAAAGCACCAGGAGAGGCAGCCATAACCTCTGCCGCACTGAAGGGGGCGCACGTGAACCCACAGTTTCTTGTTGCTACTGTTATTCTACGCAGGGACGGTAGAATCAAACAACAAACTAGACTTTTGAAACTAGAGGAAGATAAGGAGGACTTTTACAAAAAAGTAATAGAGATTGTTGTCCAGAAGGATAGTATGGACTTCATCTTCAAGTCAAGGTAAGACCACAATTGTAATGAACATGGGATCTTACTAAGAAAGAACAATCCCATATTTAGATTGTGGGTATCCTTTAGTTGAACAGTCTGTTTAAAATGAATTGAAGCATCAGACTAAAAAAGCTTTTGAAAATAACCGAATATTTCGATTAAGGTCAAAATATAATATTTGTAAATCTGACTCTGAAAGAGTCAGTGCCTCACCAGCCATGAACCTCACCGCACGTCACTGTATAGAACACAGCCTTAACCCTAGAAAGCATCATTTGGCCTTTGCATAACTTATCCCGAAAATATTTCTGATGTTCACATATTGACATTTGTGTTGGTTTTCAAGCTTATGCAAAAACATTTGGTACGCAAGTACCAGTGTCTTGAAGTGGATTCTAGCAGTTACCGGAAGCCAGTGAAGGTGTAGATATTCACGGCATTCATGTTGTTATTCCACACTCTACAGTATTGTTGTTTTATTTGTTCATGTATACAACCCAATTTGTGTTCTTTGATATTGAACAAGATATTGCATTGTGTTTGTTACTTTCGTTGCAGTTGTATATGTCTTAAGTGTAATTTGGCTTGGCTTCCTATTTTTTATGGACATGCTTTTATTTTGAAGGAGAGTTAGCGCTGTTGACAGGAAGTTGTTGTTGCTAAGGAAACAACGTGGCGGAGATTAACGGAGAAAAGTCATATCTACATATAAAGACGGAGAAAGTAAAGGATAACGTTTATGCTTAAGTGTTAGCACCCCCCGAAGAGGCACAAGCTCTTACGTTGATATGGGAGTTTTCAATAAATTCAATGGGGTGGGTGACAAATACAGAGGGGTTCATTGGAATCCTCCGTTTCCTGAGTATGTGTGTGCAGCTTCCAGGACCACACACAGCTGTCTAAACCTAGCACACGCACGCACACACACACACACACACACACACACACACACACACACACACACACACACACACACACACACACACACACACACACACACACACACACACACACACACACACACACACACACCACACACACACACACACACACACACACACACACACACACACACACACACACACACACACACACACACACACACACAACACACACACACACACACACACACAACACACACACACACACACACACACACACACACACACACACACACACACACACACACACACACACACCAGCTCCTACCTCATCCAGTTCAGAGATGAAGACGGGCTTCTCTTCAAAGCCGATGGGCATGGGATCGTTGGGTGGGATTTCCACCTCTTCATACATCTTAGTGTTGTCTCTGCGGATTCCCTCAGGAAGCATCATCTGAATGTCACAAACACAAAAGAAACTCACAAACTCAGAAATCATTTCACTGGATTCTATACCACCCTCAGAGTAGGACATTCAAAGTCAATTCAGCTATAGTCTCATATAAATGTATGTTTATTCCCCATATCGTTATTATGGCCAGGTACATTTACACATACAAGGAATTTGCTTTGGTGTCTGGTGGCGCAAATATAAAAAAATCGAAGAAATAAGTCGAAAGAGTAGTTAATATAACGTTAATAAAAAGAAACTATTTAGTATTAAAAAAGAATAAAGACAAGTATTTACACAACATTTACTGTATATTTAAATATACATAAGAACCTAAAAAAACAAAAACCTAGGACAATGAATTTATGACAATATATATGACAAAATACAGTGTATTATATTTTAAAGTAGAGGGCTGTGAAGACATGTGTGCAGAAATGTGCAAAATGTATTCAGATTTAATATATTATATTACATATAATATACACATATATATACACATATATATATATATATATTAGGGGTGTAACGGTTCACAGAAGTCACGGTTCGGTTCGTACCTCGGTTTGGGGGTCACGGTTCGGTACGGTTTCGGTTTTTGCTGTTATTTATTTTTAACAGTCGTGCAAGTTTTGGTATGAAAATAAGGAACTCTAACATTTGGAATCATTAACTGTATTACACAGTTAAAAACAAACCACAAACAGTAACACACACACTCAGATGGCCATATTATTTATAATGGCTGATGTCAAACAAAAAGGTTAAATAAGCTGTACAGCTAAAAAGAATGTCTTGAAAATATTAAAATAAATAATAAGAAAGTGTTTCAATCACAATCAATAAAAGGCAATACAGAACTGTATAACATCTCCTGATGTCAAAATATAAAATAAATACAATAATATAAAACAAAATAAAATCTGTACCTTTAGGAGCAATGTCTAACATGTGTAATTAACTTGTGAGTGTGTGAGGCCATTATGCCTAAATAAAGGTACTCAAGCTTTACTCTATTTTCAAGTTTTTCTTCAAAAAGATGAGTTTGTCTACGTTGTCAGTAGTGAGGCCAGATCTGTTGGCGGTAACTATGTCACCTGCCGTCGAGAAAACCCTCTCGCTGGGGACTGAGACTGACTCGGATGTGATTGAGCATGTTTGACGTGTTACCACTAGCATACCGCACCGCTGTCGAACAACGCCGAAACACCGTCCTCGTCCGATCCACAACTCGCACCCCATCATTGTTGTAGTCCACAGGGAACCCGAAATGTTCCCACACACCTGATTTAAAAGAAGCAGGTGGGTCTTCTAGCTCCTGTGTGTTGTGTGAACTCGCCATAGATACTAACTTTTCTTCTTCATATATTGTGTTCGTTTTGTTGTGTTTTGTTCTTGTTCTTCATTTGTTATTTACGGGCGGCTGGCTTTTAGGCACAATACCGCCCCCTGGATTATATATAGTGTAATACTGCCCTGAATGACAGACTTTTTTCCCACTCGTAAAAAAAGGCGTATTCGCCGTGTGACTGCATGTGCCGAACCGTGACGTCCGAACCGTGACGGTACGGGACGAATACGGATACCGTTACACCCCTAATATATATATATATATATTATTATATGAATCAGTACTTATTTCTAACATTTGTCTAAGTACTGCATCCAAAAGGCAAATCACTTAAAACACAACACCATGAATGGACATATTGAATTAAGATCTTAGTGTTTAAGATCTTGCTTTTTTGTCAATCTTTTAGATTGTAAGCAGACTGAAACGTGGAAACTTCAGTCAAACTTCAAAGCACTTCGAGGCTCACCTTGGCTCCACCAACAAACGCAGGCGTCTTTGCGGCCTTCTGCATGGCAGTCATAGACGTTGGGATATCGGATGCGTTCGTACACTCTCTCTCTGCTCAGTATAGGATCCCGCCGTGCAGTCAGCAGCGCCTGCTCCCTGTGTCCGCACACAAGACATATGGACCATAAAAAGAAAAGACAAGAAAGTATCTGTAAATTAAAGCTAGGGTAAGTACTTTAAGAGGAAGAGAATGACAATTCCAAAGTCTCTCAAAGTAAAGGAAGAAAGGAATAATCAGAAATGTCCTTTCACTAAAACATCTGCAGCCACATCGTGAGTCCTCACATGCCTCCACACTTTAGCTTGAGAGCGAGTTGTGCAGTGAGTGATTAAAATGGAGAGGCACAGATGTATGGCATTATGTTCTGTCCTAAAGTGGCTTACCTCTCTGCTAATCTTTTCCTTCAGACTGGGCTGAATTTGGTCATGCTAAGATTTTTAATTAAACAGATCGCTGCCCTTTTTTTTCATCCCCTGAAATTAAACTTCCAAAAAAACAGTATTCTACGAAAGAGGAAAAAAGATCTGACAAGCTGCAGTATGGCTGTGCCTTTTTTAAATTATTTTGTAAAGCTCAAGCCTAGTAGTCATGAAAAATGCAGAAGCTTGTCGGTGTTGGTGTGGAGCACACGTGGAGACGGACAGAGAACAAAGACAAATGAGGGAAGAGGACCAAGAGGAGGTTTGGAGAGATGATATACCGCTGAGTTCTCATCTCTCGGGGGTCAAAGGTCAGGGCAGCATCTGAGGATTCGCCTTCTTCTCCTCCTTTTCCTCTCTTCCTCTCTCTCTTCTCCTCTCTGCGGTACAACTTCATCATCTGTTTCTCCTGCTCTGACTGGATGGTCACCTGGCACGCAAAGGTGGGCTTGGCTTCTCCAATGGCTAATCGGCTCACATCTGGAGGAAATGCATAGAAAATATAAGGCAAAATGTTAATACCTCATATATGTGTTTCAAGAGAGGATTAAATCATTGCAAACGCATTAGGGGTTTAAAGGTTATTGCATTCGCCACAACCCATTAACCAGGACATTCAGTTCAGTTCAAGACTTTCTCCACTTCCCTGTAAAACAATAATGACTTCCAAATTAGCACACTATAACTATGTCCATGTCTTAGTGAGTATAGAACGTTAAAGGTTTTTCTCTGTGGTGTTTTCTTTACTTTTGTTATTGCGGAATTTCCAATAACAGAATGAACATACTATGTACTGCGATTCTATCCTTTCAGCTGCGCTACAGAATAACACATTTGTCACTAGAAACATTTTAAACAGAACTTTACAGGTGGTTTAATGAAATACACTAATTATTATTTAACAACTGACCTTTACACAGATGTTATAGTTTCAATATGATTCTATCAGTTTGTTGTGTAACCTCATTATCTTGTGTGTGGAAGAGAAAGTCCCTCTGGAGGAACACAGGGACTTTTGCCTTTGCAGACCATTTAAATGCACACCTATAGAACACACTACAGGAGAGGGAGAACCCCAAAAAGCAGAATTGGGCAATGTTTGAAGAGCATCAATTACTAGTTTCAGGGCAAGTTATTCATTTCTTCTTCATTTTTATAATGAGATCTATACTTTATATATATAGACTTTATATAGATAACATAATTATCTTATATTTTAATTGTTTTCAGACTCTAATGCTCACAGCCTTAAAGAGTATTTATAGCTGGATGGAAGTCAGCTAAAGTCAATAAAGAACAGCCTCATATGTCAGCATAGGGCTGCTCAATTAATCGTATTTTAATCACAATTACAATTTTGGCTTGCAACGATTATGAAAACAACATAATCGAAATAAAATGATTATTTTTCTTTTTTTTTATTGGTTTTTCAGTTGAATTATACAACATCAACAGTTTTTCTCAATAAATGGATGTTTTCAAAGTATATGGATGGATCATTTTTAATAATCGTGATATCAATTATCGACCCAAATAATGGAGATTATGATCTTTGCCATAATCGAGCAGCCCTATTTCAGCAGTAGTCTTGATAGCCCGTTGATGCGAGAAGCGAGTGCACGTGGCTCTGCATGGGTTAACGTTCCCCATTGCAGCCTCCCTGTTTGGGGCACAACAGCTCAATAAGCGGCAGAATTGCTCTTGAAAACAGATGAGATCTGAAGATTGCATCGCGGCCCGGGCTGATTGACTGAATGATTTCTTCTTTATCTCGTCTAACGGCTCTACCTGCCGCACAGCCCCCCCTCGTTGTAGCGGCTCCCCTCTTCCTGTCACTCCACCCTCCCTGCCATTACCTTTCCAACTCCCCTTCCCCTTAACTCTGTCACCCTCTATGCACCAATTCCTCTGTCTCAACCATTCCCTATCCTTTACTCTCCCTCTCTCTGGGAGCCTTGTGCCTGCCTTGTTATGTGTCTCCAGCAGTGATTGCCTCCAAATCTCCAGGATTCTCATTTCCACAAGCGATCATGGTGCCATAATCATTGTGAGGAGCTTCGCCAAAATAGATTTGGTTTGCTTACAAGCTGGTTTCAAGGTGCTTTCACACATTTCTTCATGTTTTTCCACACCTTTTACACAGATATAGGATTTACGAGGGCAGTCTTTTTAGAGTCAACATCATTAACACTGTATTAAACAAAAACCACAAGACCCTCCATGTTATCATTTACCATGAATAAGAGTCTTTCATTTTGTAATTGCATGCAGATACAATTTATCGTGGTATGACTTTCAAAAGGAGATACAAATCAAAACTGTTTCAATGCTATACAACACACTTGTGTATAAAATATATACACATATAATGTATTGCATGTGTTTTTCATTACTTAAACCTCTTATATAATGTGTTATGTTTTTATGTACAGGTAAGCATTTCAATTTTAACCTGCAGCGGTAGTAAATCTGTAAGTAAAAGTTTCTCATTTGGATTGTAAATCCTCTTTTAGAATGAAGAGAAATCAATAAATGATGTTGATCAATACATAAGAAAATGGAATGAGAATAAATAACTAACCTGAATGGTACAGAGCCTCTCGTTATTTAACCTTACAGATATGGTTATAGGAAAAGGCAATATTGCTGTAATCAGCATCACAATATTTACTTCGGTTGGCAGATGTAGTATACAGTGTATAGGTAGTAAATAATATATTGTGTATTCCCCCGTAAAACAGATCTGTTCCAAAATGTAAAAGGTTCTGCAAGGGAATTCCCTTTAACAAGTTTCACGAACAAGGAGCCAGTATTGTTTTTATAGTTTTATATGAATACATGTCCTATATCTTTTATTGAGTTGTGTTTAGTAATGATGTGCATCTGTATCTTCACTTCAGCACGTACACCTTTGTGTACTACTACCACTGCTCAGATTTCAAGAACTGTAAAGATTTGGCAACACCAGAATGTGATGACACGGCTGCAGAGAGCAAAATAGGATGATTATATAACCTACATCAATTATTTAGGGGACTTACTGTCCAAAGAACAAATTCGGAGTCAATAAATGAATAAAGTGAGGTTATGTAACTATGGAGAGATTGTATTGGATGACTGTGGTTTTCTTCCCGGTAAACTCAAAATCACTCGAATTAAAAACCAACAACATCATGGTCTTCTACAAAGAAATAACAGACCATAGAATGCCGTAATTGACCAAATAGAATTCAACAAAGCTGTGTAAAAATAGAGGAAATATATATTTGGATGTCAGATATTGGCTGGCAGTCTAATCCCATGGTTTAATTGAAGAATAATCCATATATATGCACATTTTGCCTATCATTTCAATATAACAATTCATTCAAATACAGCTTAACTGCTCCAGTGCTAATGATATTTCTGGCATCACAAAGTCATCCAATCCCCCTATAATTCTGTCTGCTCATAGTATGGTTTTATCATTTCAACAGCTCTCACCAACACATAAGCCCTATAATTGTGAATAACGTGTTTGAAGTCATGACGGACCAAATCAATTGCCTTGTTGTTAAACTTGCTTGGCAGTAAGAATGATGCAATGCTCCCAGCATCCTCTGAGTTCTTCTTCTCTGTTAGTTGTCACACTCAGAGTTGTGAGCGGAGTTTGAGCGGCAGAGAAAAGCCTCTGTTCTGATCATGGCCTGAGGGAATTGTCTAAAATGCTCAGCAGAAAGGCACTGGCATTATCTCAGTTTGAAATGTATGGCAGAACCATTTGCCATGGTACATCAAGTCAGAGAAACTGATTTCTGAGAAGTTTGCTGCAAATATTCCTCAAACACCTACTGCACTATACGAACAGAAAAAGGAATATTCTGAAAGACCCATTTAAAGGCATTTGTAAGAGGACTAGACATCAATACTCAAACAATGACTCTCCCTGCAACAACACAGTCGACAGACAGAAGTGATGTTGAAGTTAACATATTACTACGATAAATAATAGCTACTTTGCTGAAAGTGTTACTAAAATGATGCAGAATAAAAAGGTGTCTAATATTCCCAATCTTTTTACAACTCTAATTTTTGGCCCCAACCTGTCAACTCTGTAGAACACACCTGGCTTTTTGCTCCACTACACTAATAAGGTTCATGAGAGCAAGTTGGCATCAGGGATGCAAACACACGTATGGTGAAAGAAGAGAGAACTATTAGAAGCAGAACAAAACAGCGTAATATACCATCTGACAAAGGCCTGTGCTATAATGCTTCAATGAGCTGGCTATTCTTTATAATATACTCAGATCCATAGGAGACAGAGATGTTAAGTTATAAATCAAGGGTTTTTATTATTATTTACAGGTAGATAATATCAAGGGTGTAACTTTGGTTTAAGAAGTGGGGGGGACACAAAACAGGGGGTCCTCCGCAATGAAACATTTTCTCGATTTAATTCCATTTCCTGCCTTTCTACAAATATATTAGGGACTATGGTGTTAAAAAATCAAAGAAAAATGTGTAGTGTATATAATGAGTGTGCAAACTTATCTAGTATCCTACCCATGTGAACCTGTTTTATTTGTGGGTGGACCTCACATCGTCTAGGGGGGTCATGCACCCTTGGGAAGATTTTTTTCTTTAAATTGAAGTTAAATGCATCAATCTGGTGCACTTTGAGGGCAAAACTGAGATACAGCTCTCAACACTCATATGAAACAGAACTGTATATATTTCAATAATTTAAAAAAACAATAGAATATGCTCACAACCAATAACACATCATTGATCAACTCCTCTCTCCTATCTGTATCTTACCTAATCTGCATTCTTTGTTATTTATGCATATTTTACTAATCACTCCCCTTTTAAACTCTTTTTTAGTTTTTACTGACCTATAGTACACATTGGAATAATTTCTTAACTTATTTTTTAGAACTATATTAAATAGATTGAAATATTTGTTTACATAGATGACCAAACCGTTTGAGACCCACTGAGATAACTTAGACTCAAGTTTACAATCTAATCACTCAGCGAGTCCTTTACCTCTCCGCGCTAGCACCAGATGCTAACAACAACCCCCGTAACTGATGCGCTAACTCTCTTTCTCTCTCGCTCTCTCTCTCGCTCGCACACTCACACAAAATGTGCTCGTGCCACACACACACACACAGACGCTGTGTGCTCCTCCGTGGCGATGACCGCTTACGTAAAAAAAAAAAAAAAAACATTTGAAAAGTGGGGGGGACACAAACGTGATTTTGAAAAGTGGGGTGGACATGTTCCCCCCTGTCCCCAGTGGAAATTACGCCCATGGATATTATACACTATTAACTTTAAGGGCTTCAGTTTCTCTTCTTCTTCTTTGCTTGCGAAAGTGTTTCTACTGCTTTATGTCTAGCAGTGTTTCCCACACAGTTCTGAAATATACTTGTGGTGGTAGCCGGAGGGGGCGGGGGGGGGGAGCACGCTCGTGAATTGTTAGTTCTGTTAGT